TTTTTGAATTATCTTCAGTAAGACTTGTAAGTAAGAATTCAATTAACAATTGTCCTATGACCCAGCAATTCCACTCTCAAGAATACACCTCAAAGAATTGAAAGTGGAAACGTGAGCAGATACTTGTATACCAAATGATCACTGCAACATTACTCACAATAGCCAAAGGACAGAAAAAACCTAAATGTCTATCAACAGATGAACAGACAAGCAAAATGGTATATACATGCCATGAAATATTATTCAGTCATAAAAAGAAATGAAGTTCTGATACATGCTACAATATGATTGAACCTTGAAAACGTTGTTGTTAGGTGCCATTGAGTCAGCTCCGTCTCATAGCAACCCATGTACAACAGAACGAAACACTGCCTGGTCCTCCACCAGCCTCACAATCCTTGCCATACTCAAGCCCATCATCACGGCCGCTGAGCCAATTCACCTTGTTGAGGGTCCCCGCCTTTTTTGCCGACCCTGTACTTTACCAAACATGATGTCCTTCTCCAGAGACAGGTCCCTCCTGAGAACATGTCCAAAGTTAGAGAGACAAAGTCTGGCCATTCTCACCTCTAAGGAGCATTCTGGCTGCACTTCCTCCAAGACAGATCTCTTCCTTCTTCTAGCAGTCTGTGGTATAGTCAATATTCTTCGCAACCATCACAATTCAAATTGAAAACGCTACGCTGAGTGAAAGAAGCCAAACACAAAAGGCCTCATGTTGTATAACTGCATGTATACGAAACCTCCAGAGAGGAAAATCCACAGAGACAGAAGGTAGATTAGTGGTTGCCAGGGGCTGCGGAGGAGGATGGGGCGTTAGTGTGTACATAATGGGTACAGCGTTTCTGTTTGGGATGATACAATGTTCTGGACATAGATAGTAGTGATGACTACACATTATGAACATACCTAATACCACTCAAGTGTATGGTTAAAATAGAAACATGTATGTTTTGTATATTTTACCACTGGGAGCTCTGGTAGCATAATGGCTAAGGCACTTGACCGCTAACCAGAAGGCTGGCGGTTCAAACCCACCAGACACTCCTCGGAAGGAAGATGGGGCAATCTACTTCTGTAGTGATACTGCCTCAGAAACCCAAGGAGGGGTCGCTATGAGTCGGGTCCAACTTGATGGCACATAACAACTACAACAACATATTTTACCACAAGGAACTCTTGGCGTAGTGGTGAAAGTGTTCAGCCACTAACCAAAACATCAGAGTCGCTACGTGGGAGAAAGATGAGGCTGTCTGCTTTTGTAAAGATTTACAGCCTTGGAAACCCTATGGGGCAGTTCTACTCTGTCCTATAGGGTTGCTATGAGTTGGAATCAACTGAATGACAGTGGTTTTCCCCGCCCCCCCACTACATTTGAAAAATGGGAAAAAGAAACGAAACCAAGGTTCCCATCAGCCCTAGGCCCTCTCCCTCTCCCCAGGGGCTAGAGACAGAGGGGCTTAGGACTAAATCCTCTTTCAGTTCCCCTCCAGCCATCTCTGAATCTCACTCAGTCTGCAACTCCAAAGAATGGTCATGCCCACCCACCCTTCCAGGGCTGCCAGTAACATGAGGCTGCCCCCAACCTCACGCCCAACCCTAATAGAAAATGCCAGATCCACTGGGCTAGTGGCCGAGATATAGAAGTCCCCTTCAAACTCAGGTCACAGCTAGAATTTCTAAACTCAAGTTTGAGTCTAATGGGAGTTTCATGGCCCCTCACATCTTTACCTGGGTGAAAGTTTTATCTCCCAGGGATGCAGGGGGAAGTTTCAAGGGCCCCTTCTTCACGTGCTGGTGAGGACCCCAGATCCAATCTCTAGTGGGGATTTCTGTTCCTCAAGACTGATGCTCACTGGGAGTTTCAAGCTCCCCCACACCAGCTCCCTGGAGAGAATCTGCAGATTCCCCCAAGTTCTCGTCAGGAAACGGAGGCTCCTGATTTGAGTGTTCTGGGGAGCTTTAAGGCCCTGTCCCACACCAAACACACTGGTGAGAATCCGGAGATCCCTCAAGCCGTTAATGTGGAGCCCAGCAGCGGTTTCAAGGCCTCCCCCGTCTTCACAGAACTGCTGTGGGGATTTCTGGAGAGAATTTCTACTCCCCTCCAAACACAGGGCCCCAGCAGCAGTTTCAAGGCCTCCCCCGTCTTCACACAGCTGCTGTGGGGATTTCTGGAGAGAATTTCTATGCCCCTCCAAACATAGGGCCCCGGCAGGAGCTTGAGTCACTGTCATGGATTGAATTGTGTCCCTGGCTAGCCCATGATTCCCAGTATTATGTGGCTGTCCCCCATTTTGTGATGTGTTGCAAATTCTAACCTCTGGTGGCGCAGTGCCTTAAGCCATGTGACTGCTAACCAGAAGGTTGATGGTTCAAATCCACCAGCTGCTTTGTGGAAGGAAGATGGGGCAATCTACTTCTTCTGTAAAGATTTACCACCTCAGAAACCCAATGGGGGTGGCTACGAGTCAGAATTGACTTGATGGAGTTTGGGTTTTTTTTTGTTGGTTATATTGTTAATGAGGCAGGACTAGTGTGGGGGTGTATCTTGAGTTACCACCCTTACTCAAGTCATACCTTTGATTGAGTCTTAACCTTTTATCTTACAAAAGACGAAAGGAGAATCAGGCACCGAGGAGAGGATCTCACTACCAAGAAAGAAGAGCTAGGAGCAGACCATGTCCTTTGGACCCAGGGTCCCTGCACTGATAACCTCCTAGTCACAGGGAAAGACCGATCCAAGACACACAGAGATCCAAGACACACTGGGCCCACAGGTGTTGAAAGGCGATAAGAATTTTCCCTCAGAGCTGACAAAGAAAGCCTTCCCCTAAAGCCAGTGCCCTGAATTCAGATTTCTAGCCTCCTAAAGGGAGCTCTGGTGGTGTAGTCCCTAAGGCATTTGACTGTTAACCAGAAAGCTGGCAGTTCAAACCCACCAGCCACTCCTCGACTCCTCGGAAGGAAGACTGGGCAGTCTACTTCCGTAGAGATACCACCTTGGAAACCCAAGGAGGGGTCGCTATGAGTCAGATTCAACTCAACAGCAGTGAGTTAAACCTTTACAAAGTGGCTCTGGTGGTGCAGTGCCTAAGGCATTTGACTGCTAAGCAGAGTGTTGGTGGTTCAAACCCACCAGTGGCTCCCCCGGAAGGAAGATGGGGTAATCTACTTCCGTAAAGATTTACCACCTCAGAAACCCAATGGGGGTTGCTATGAGTCAGAATCGTCTTGATGTCCGTGAGTTTAGTTTTTTTGGAAACAGAGCATAAATTTCTGTTTGTTAAAGCCATCCACTTGTGTGATCTCTGGTGTAGCAGCACTAGAGAACTAGTGAACAGCCACTTACCGCAGTCTGGTTGCAGGAGTCAGCCTCTGCCTGGGCCCTCCAGCCGTCCACCCGGGCCTGGGTCAGCTGGCGTTCCAGGAGGTGGGTGGTATTTTTACATTCCTGCTGGACCTGGAGGCCATCCCTGCAGGCTCTGCTGTTGACCCTGACAGCTAAGATGATCAGGGTCACTGTCAAGACCACCACCACCATCAAGGCAAACAGCAGGGCCCCGATCCATATCCACCGCTTGGGGTACCCCACCTCGGACCCCCACTTGCCGTCCATGTGCATTGGTAAATAGTGGTAAAAACTTGGAGCCATTCACCTCTCCTGTGAGAAGGAATGTGAGCCACGGGGCAGGCAGTGTTGGAACCTTCTAGGGCTGCTGCCTTATTAGCATAGGGGCCGTCCTGACCAATGGGAAGTTCCAGGGTAATCCCCTAACCCGAGACTTTGGATCTACTAGAATGGGCAATCTGCAGGCAGCGGACCGCGGAGACTTTCAGTTTCGTTTTCCTGGAAAGAAAGTGTCTTTTCTCCTGCATTAGGACCTCCTGTCGTTCCCTGGTCAGTGGGAGCTTGTGGGAGGGATGCTGAGGCCACTCGGGACACGCCAGCTCCAGTACCCTCCCCTCACTTGCGAGTTCCTGACGCCAACGATCTATCGCAATGACTGAGCGCGCCTTGCTGCATGCTAGCCTCGCGTTCATCGCCGCCGGCCGAAGCAGAGGCCTTCGTTGGTCTCGCTGGGGAAACGGTGGCTGCGGGGGTGGATGGAACACTGATGGGGCAGAGCCTGAATCTGACCCAGGAACTTGGGGTTTGTGTTCAGGGCTTTCCATGGTGACGCAGCGGGGGTTCACCCAGCGCCCCTGCTTCCGTAAAGGGGGCCCATGAAGAGCTCTGGAGGGTGAGTGAGTGAGCCAAGGAGAAACCTGGAGCGAGCAAGGGAGAAACCTGAGCGCGTGGGAGGTCGGAAGGCGTGAAAAGAGGCTGCAGCTCCCTTTTTGGCCACCAGGGGCCGCCCCAGACCTCAAAAGAGGTGGAGGCGGGAACTAGCCCAGGTGGAACATCCTCTTAACGTCTGGAGTCTGCCCCTGTGACTCAAATGTGCCAAGCAACCCTCTGAGTAAGAGCTGCCCCGTCTGTGAAGTAGGGCAATAACGGACTAACCTCTCTGGGAGGGTTCAGTGAGGAGCTAGGAGATGCTTAAAGAAATGTGCAGCCAGCCATCCGCCCACCTGCCCAGCCTGTGGCTCAAGGTGGATGGCCAGATGGATGGCACAGAGAGCCACAAGGCGAAGACCAGTTTTTGGGACAGACAGTTATTCCTAGGAGATATCCAGGGAAGAGGCCAGGAGGTGGCAGGACCCAAAATGGGGTGGGTTTGGTCAGGCCATACTGACTGCCTGGCCATGTGGCCAAGGGAGCCAGAACTTCCTGTGGGAGATCAGCCATATGGGGGTGAGCTCCCCGTTGTCAGGAGCATGCAAGTAGACAAGGGTTCTCCAGCAGCATTTGGGCCAGGGGGCCAAGCAGAGAGGCCTGATTCTGTGAGGGCACACCAGGAAGTGGGTCACGGCCTGATGGGATGGACTGTGAACAGCCCTCCCTGGCAGTCAGGTTCTCCCATCAGACAACAGGTTCTAAAGGACTAGAGAAGGGACATTCCTCAGCTCCCAATACAGCTGCTCCCTCCTGATGTAATGTGAGCTGGGCCTGGCCGGGGGCCATGCGTTTTCCCAGTGGCCACGACCTGATGAAAACTCAGCTTCGACTGGCCAGCAATTTCCAAGTGCTTGTGTTCAGCTGGGCCAGATGGCGGGCAGGCAGGGGCCCAGGCCTCCCACAAGGCCAGGTGAAGTGCCCCCAGGCCTCCAGTTGGGCATCCCTCTGCCTACCAGTTCTCCATTAAAGCTACTCAGGACCTAGATACCAAGGGAAGGGGATGAGTGATCTTGCTGGAAAGGCCCAGGGTGGGCTTGTGTGTCCCGTGGGGAGGGTTCTCCCTCCCTGGCTAGGGCCACGGCTGCACAAAACATGACCTTTGGCAAAGCCAACTTAGCTGCGCCACATGGTCTGGTCTTCAAACTTTAGGGTTGCCTTATGACCCATCAGCGGCCACAATTGCGGGTCAGAGTCGGGAGTAGATAGCCTTGTCTACCTGGGTGACTGACCCCCAGGCCAGTATCTTCCTTCTCTCAGCCTCAGTTTCCCCAGCTGTGAAATGAGGATAATAATAAAAACTGCCTTCAAAGATTGTAGATGCTTCCCAAACTTCTGTCCCCGGCTGGCTTCCTTAGCTGCATGTTTGCACCCCAAAAAAATGAACCAAGCCTGTTGTCATCAGTCAACTCCAACTCACCTCCAGCAAATACAAAGATTGTGGCTTTTCCCTCTGGAATTACAACTGGAAACTTTTGCCACCATTCTTCTGATCTTAGCTTTGTTAGTCATTTTTAAATAAACTTTTAAATTAAGAGCAGTTTTGTGGAAGGCTGAAGTAGAAGCCCAAGGGCCCCCTGGTTGAAAATTGCAGAACTTCAGCAGACTCACTGCCGTCGAGTTGGTTCTGGCTCATAGAGACCCCTCCTTGGGTTTCTGAGGCAGTATTTCTATGGAAATAGATTGTGCTGTCTTCCGGTGGAGGAGTGGCTAAAGTAGCCATTAATGTCTACTTTATTACATTAAATGTCTAGACATTAATCATAGTGACTAACTTGCTATTTTTCCCTCCCTTTTGCTTTCTTTTAATAGAACAGCCAGCCTTTTTACAAACACTGAGGTCTTTGTTGTTGTTATATGCCATCGAGTCATCTCCAACTCATAGCGACCTTGCATACAATAGAACGAAACACTGCCCGGTCCTGCACCAGCCTCACGATCCCTGCTATACCTGAGCCCATCGTCACAGCCACTGTGTCGATCCATCTTGCTGAGGGCCCTCCCCTTCTTCACTGACCCTCCACTTTACCAAGCAGGATATCGTTCTCCAGAGAATGGTCCCTTCTGACAACACAACCAAAGTAGGTAAAACGAAGTCTGGCCATTCTCGCTTCAAAGGAGCATTCTGGCTGCACTTCCTCCAGGACAGATCTGTTAGTTCTTCTGGCAGTCCACGGTACTTTCAGCATTCTCCGCCAGCACCACAACTCAAAAGCATCAACTCTTCTTCAGTCTTCCTTGTTCATTGTCCACCTCTCACATGCATATGAGGCAACTGAAAATACCAGGGCTTGGATTAGGTGCGCCTTAGTCTTCAAGGAGACATCTTTGCTTTTCAGCACTTGAAAGAGGTCTTTTGCAGCAGATTTTCCCAGTGTAATATGTCGTCTGATGTCGTGACTGCTGCTTCTGTTGGTGTTGATTGTAGAACCAAGTAATATGAAGTCTTTGACAACGTCAGTCTTTTCTCCACTTGTCATGATGCTGCTTATTGGTCCAGTTGTCAGGATTTTTGTTTTCTTTCTATTGAAATGTAATCCATACTGCAGACTGTAGTGTTCAGTCTTCATCAGTAAGTGCTTCAAGTCACCCTCACTTTCAGCAAGCAAGGCTGCGTCATCAGCAAGTTGTTAACGAGTCTTCCTCCAATCCTGATGCCACGTTCTTCATATAGTCCAGCCTCTCCGATTATTTGCTTAGCATACAGATTGAATAAATATGGTGAAAGGATACAGTCCTGACACTCTCCCTTCCTGATTTTAAACCATCCAGTGTCCCCTTGTTTTGTTCGAAAGACAGCCTCCTGGTCTATGTACAGGTTCCTCATGAGTACAATTAAGTGTTCTGGAATTCCCGTTCTTCTCAGTGTTTTCCATAATTTGTTATGATCCACACAATCAAATGCTTATGCATAGTCGATAAAATACAAGTAAACATCTTTCTGGTATTCTTTGCTTTGAGCCAAGATGCATCTGACATCAGCTATGACAGTCCTCATTCCACATCCTCTTCTGAATCCAGCTTGTATTTCTGGAAGTTCTCTGTCAATATATTGCTACAACCGTTTTTGAATTGTCTTCAGTAAGATTTTACTTGTGTGTGATATTAATGATTTTGTTTGATAGTTTCCACATTCTGTGGGATCACCTTTCTTTGGAATGGGTGCATATATGGATCTCTTGCAGTCAGTGGGCCAGGTAGCTGTCTTCCAGATCTCTTGGCATAGCTGAGTGAGTGCCTCCAGCACAGCATCCGTTTGTTGAAACATCTCAATGGGTATTCCGTCAATTTCCAGAGCCTTGTTTCTCACCAATTCCTTCAGTGCAGCTTCGACTTCTTCCTTCAGTACCATTGGTTCTTGATCACATGTCACCTCCTGAAGTGGATGAACATCGACCAGTTCTTTTTGGTACAGTGACTCTGTGTACTCCTTCCATCTTGTTTTGATGTTTCCTGCGTTATTCAATGTTTTGCTCATAGAATCTTTCAACATTGCAACTCAAGGCTTAAATTTTTTCCTCAGTTCTTTCAGCTTGAGAAGTGCCGAGCATGTTCTTCCCTTTTGCTTTTCTAACACCAGGTCTTTGCCCATTTCATTATAGTAATTGGCTTTGTCTGCTCGAGCTGCTCCTAGAAATCTTCTGTTCAGCTCTTTTATCTTTTCATCTCCTCCATTTGCTTTAGCTACTCTCTCTGCTCAAGAGCAAGTTTCAGAGTCTCTTCTGATTTTGGTCTTTCCTTCCTTTCCAGTTTTTTTTTTAATGACCTGAGTTCTTTAGGTTTGTTATTTTCACTTATACATTGTTGTAAGCATAAACCTCTCCCACAGCTGGACGGTAGTCTGTGAAGTAAGACGAGCTTGGGAAGGGGGACTCTGAGTCTGGAATCAGCAGGGAAGAGAAGAACAAAGACATTCTTGGCAGTCCAAGAGATCTTCAGCCTCCTTCCCATCTCCCTGTATAATCAAGTTTATGCCTTTGCTCAGGGAGACAGACATTTTAGAGAACTGATTTTCTGTCTCCTTTGGCATCAATACTCAATAAATCTTTTGCTTTTCCACTTCAACCTGTTGTGGTGATTAGCTCTACCCATGACAGGTAGTGAGAACCTCACTGTTCCTACATCAGCTTTAGATTTACAGAAAAACTGTGGAGATAGTACAGAGAGTTCCCATAAACCCCACACTCAGATTCCCCTCTTACTAACATCATGCATTAGGATGGTACATTTACAATTAATGTACCAGTGTTGATACATTATTGTTAACTAAAATCCAAACCAGACCCATTGCCATGGAGTCAATTCTGACTCATAGTGACCCAACCTGTTACAAGGCAGAG